AAAAAAAATATTTTTTAGTTTTAGGTGAACACAATGTATTTATTTTACATTTATGTGGTGTTGAGGATCGAATCCTCATGCATTGCAAGGCCAGCATTCTACCACTGAGCCACAATCCCAGCCCCGTGTGGGGGAGCAGGGATTAAACCCAGGGGCACTCGACCACTGAGCGAATCCCAGCCTTATTTTGTATGTTATTTAGATACCCGGTCTCACTGGGTTGCTTAGCGCCTGCGGTTGCAGAGGCTGGCTTTGAAGTTGCGATTCTCCTGCCTCAGCCTCTGGAGCCGCTGGGATTACAGGCATGCATCACTGCACCCAGCTTCAGCTAGTGCTTTTTTTAAAAAAAAAAAAAAAAAAAAAAGCAAAAATCTATTGTTATTGAAGAGTTTGCCAAAACTTAAAGGGGAAAAAAAAATCCAATACTCCAACTTTTTTTTTTCTTGTTTGTTTTACAAAATGTGCTTAACTACTTTTAAAAAATGTAGTTGTAGCATTTGGGGACATGCCMGTAATCTCAGCGGCTCAGGATGCTGAGGCAGGAGGATCATAAACTGTAAGCCAGCGTTAGCAATTTAGTAAGACCCTGTCTCAGAATAAAAAGGGCTGGGCATGTAGGTCAGTGCTGGAGAACTTGCCTAGCATGTGGAGGGTTCTGAGTTCAATCCCTATACCCCGCCCCCCAAAAAGACAAATTCTACTGTTCGTTTTTAAGTTAATCAGATGTCGCTGGGACTGCGAAGTCAACAAGTTAATCTGGAATGAGTGGGTAACCTAATATTCATCCACTAATCAAGCAGTCTTCCCTTTCCTTTCATTCCCGACAAACTTTCAGGTCTATCATACTTGCTTCACCTTCCCCTAGATCCTGGCTCCAGTCCATCTCCTATCTGACTCAGGCACATTTTTCAACGTTTTCAGAGTTCCTATCTTGATCCTGCCCCCAGGAGGAATCTCCTTACAATCCTGGGCCTTGGGTCACCTAGGGATTTTCGGAGTTTCCCGGAGAGCCGGCTTCACGTGTCAGGACCAGAAATCTGGGCACTGGAGGTCTGCGACGGTCACACTCCAGGGTTCGGTTCGGGAACCCCCCAGAATTTACTAGAGATGAAAAGAGGGGTCATTGTAGGGTCAGGGTGAGGGGGCTGGGCCCAGCCCTGTTCACGTGACCCATCCTCATTGAGAGGAATGCGTTTTCCCACCAGACGGGGCGCTGGAAGCGAGGGGCGGGCGGCCAGTCCCCTCCCCGCCGGGGTAGTCCGGGGCGCCGCTCCCCTGCCCAGGCCTTGACGCAATCTTTCCACGCCGGGGGCGGGACGCACTTGACGCCATCTCCGGGCGCCCGGCTGGGGGGTGCTGGGTGTGGGGCGGCTCCGGGGCCGGGGATGGCGGCGGCCGCGTTTGCGGCGGCTCCGGGACAAGCAGGCGGAGCCCGGGGAGCGCCGTGAGATGGGCCGGTGAGTGTCGCCAGGAGCGGTGGCCGCCTGGCCAGCCTGGCTGAGACCAAACAGGCCTGGGCTCGGAGCTGCGGGGGAAGTGGCCCCTGGAGCCCGTTGCCCCACCGGGCCAGGGCCTGAAAACCGCGGACAGAGGGAGCAAAAGAGGCCGCGCCCAGACTCCCGTACGCTTCTCCCCTGCCCGCCCCGAAGGAGGCGTCAGTCCCTGCTGCCGTGTCTCCACGGGCCGGGGTGTCCGAGTCCTGGGTCGGGAAGGGGCCTTCAAACAAGGAAGCGTCGCCTACGGGGCCTCGATCCTGCCCGGTGATTTGAAGGCCGACCCCCTACTCTCTAAAACGCAGAATTGCCGGTTTCGGACCTTACCCCGTTGGAGAAAGAACTGCAGGATCACGGGAAGCCATAACCCCTAGTCTCTTCCAAGCTTTTCCCTTTCTGWTCCTCGCACTTCTTGCCCTCAGCGAATTCGGGTCTCCTGCAGAGTCCAATCTCTTGATTCCGACCCAAGAGTGAGGAGGTTCTTCATCCCAGGCTCTTTTGACAACTCTCCGGAACGTTTCCGCTTGCCCATTAGCTCAGTTGGGGTCACAAGCTGTGTCTTCCCCTTGAGMAAGTCTCATTAAACCCCTCCAGAGGCTGAGATTTCAGATTCTGAAATGTGTTTTGCCTTATGAGAACCTGGTGCGGACAYTTGGCTTTATGTTGTTTTTCCCCCAGAACTTTTGCCTCTTTCATTCCGTTCATTAGCTTATGTTTGGTAATCCCTTAGTGACCTAAAGGCAGGGTTTCTTCACTGTTTTAGTTATAGAGAACAAGGATCATTCTGGGAGTGAAGATGCGACCCTCATTTCTGCTAGGAACGAAGGAGAAGGCTAACTACCTGTTCAGTTACCGAAATATCATCGGAGAAGGGATGCATGTCTTGTGCCCACAGTGTAATTTGTGGGATTGGGAATTTGCTTTTCCACCTTGTTTTCCTATCTTTCTACCTTTTGCATATGCCTGCATCATGCCAATCTTAAGAGATAAATGTTGCCTTTGGTTTGGATTAGGCTTGCAGTGTTCTATGGGACTTGGACAGGACAGTCAGTAGTTTCTCAGAGTATTCACCAGTACTGCTTTCTCTGTGTTCAGAAGTTAAGGCTCTGTCCTTTAGCACTTGAGTTTCTGGAAAAATAGGGATCCAGATATTGATAGTTTACTGGTAATTTTGTTTCCCCATTGTTAAGTACATGAGGATCAAATTGATGTTTTCAGTTTCCATCACACCTGATTCAGCTTGAGGTAAAGTTGTCCCTCAGAAAACTTAATACACACACATCCATACGCCCATTTTTGTTTAACCCTGAAAAATTGTTAATAAGCCTTCCCCCTTGAGTGACTCCCCCTTGAGTGACTCCACCTTGACCTCTTTTTCTGCCCCAGAAACATAAATAATTATTCTTTTTCCTCTAGTGGTACCTTTTTAATTTAAATAATCTCCATATATGTGCATTCATAGGCCCTGAATAAAGGTGCAGTTCCCTGCTTCCCACTGCTCACATGGGAAAAGTGTTAAGTCTTCCGTTTTTATTTGTGCATTTAAACTGAAATATGGATTGGAAATAAATTTAACTTTTGGAAAATAGGGCAGATAATGAAGTGTATGATGGCCTGGGGTTGTGGCTGTGGTAGAACACTTGCCTAGAATGTGTGAGGCACTGGGTTCTATCCTCAGTACCACATAAAAACAAATGAATAAGGGCTGAGGCTGTAGCTCAGTGGTAGAGCACTTGCCTCGCATGTGTGAGGCCCTAGGTCCGAACCTCAACACCACATAAAAACAAACGAATAAGTGCTGGGGCTGTAGCTCAGTGGTAGGGCACTTGCCTTGCACATGTGAGGCCCTGGGTTAGAACCTCAACACCACATAAAAGTAAATAAATAAATAAAGATATTTTAAAAATGGTATATTTTTAAAAAAACAAATGAATAAAATAAAGGTCTTAAAAAATCACACTGATTAATCCATCTTTTTAAAAAAGAATATGATGTTAAGTAAAAGAAGTGAAATTTGGCACATGGAAACTTTCAGGGATGTCTTTTTACAAATTAGAGCTTAAGGGATGACTTTTTCTTTCTTCAACTACTTGGCCAATCTGGATAAATATGCTGTTACCTTTGAGAAGAGGATGAGACGAGGACTCATTGTGGACTTTAATGTTTTTTTGTTGGTTTGGAAATACTTTACATGATGACCCTGTGTAAGATCAGAGGTCAGGCTTCTGTTTACTCCATACCTATTTCTGTCTTCTAGGCTTCCAAGGCAGCCGGGAGGACACTTAATACAGCTGCTCAGAAGCACCAACAGAAGCTCAGGTAATGCAGGCATTTTTTTTTTTTTTTTTTTTTTTTTTAAAGAGAGAGTGAGAGAGGAGAGAGAGAGAGAGAGAGAGAATTTTTTTTAATATTTATTTT